CTTTATGATGGTTCCTCCTAAACCCTAAACCCTAAACCCTTTTTGGGTTCTCTTTATTTGTTCTTGGTTTATTTATTTATTTATTTATTATTTATTTATTTATTTGATTTTTTTTTAGTGAGAGGAGCGGCACGAAGGATACAGGACATGAAGGCGATTCGGTTAGCTGAACCTGTTTTAGGGTTTAGGGTTTAGTGTTTAGGGTTTAGGGTTTAGAGTCTATTGTTGGGGGTTTAGTGTTCAGGGTCTAGGGTTTAGGGTTTAGAGACTATCTTTCTGAGGTTTTTGTTGCGCGTTATATTTATAATGCTGTTATTTATTTATTTATTTATTTATTTATTTATTTATCTGATCTGCTGTTGTTTATTATATTTTATTATATTTTATTATATTTTATTTTAATTTTTACGTTGGCTGCATCTTCCCAACACCAAACCAAAAAATATATTTTAATGTTTAAATTGTTTGTATTTCTTGATTTGTTTTTTAGTCTGTCTATAGATTACATATTATATTAGTTAGAATTATATATGTATATATATATGTATATATATTTATATATATTTATATATGTATATATATATATATATATTATTAATTATTTGTTTTTATTATTTTGTTTGTATTTCTTGATTTGTTTTTTAGTCTGTCTATATATTACAAATGCTATTAGTTTGAATAATATAAACATATACATATATACACATATACATATATACATATATACTAATATATATATATATATATATATATATATTTTAATATATTAATATATTGTGACTAATATGTTTGTATGCTTCTTTTTTCTAGCAGGTTATATCTTCTTTTAGTTCTCTGGATAGCAGCTTTTCAAGCAACAAATATAAAAATATATCTGTGCCTCTTGAAATGTTCGCCGACCCGGTTGCAGCATTTGTCTTTAATAAAAAAATATATTTACCGGACTTTGCTCGAAGATATTCAAATTTTATTATTCGCTGCTTTAATGAATTTGGATTTGCTACAGACTGTACGTACACCCCAAATCATCTTCATTTTATAATGTTCTTGTTAATCTTAATGTTATTTAAATATTTATTTTTATATAATAATATATTCATGCTAATTCTAATGTATTTATATTCATATTAATTCAATTTACTTTTTCGTTCTTTTGTTTGTTTTGTTTGTTTTTTTGTTTGTTTTGTTTGTTTTGTTTGTTTTGTTTGTTTGTTTGTTTGTTTGTTTGTTTGTTTTGTTTGTTTGTTTGTTTTGTTTGTTTGTTTGTTTTGTTTGTTTGT